GGCAGTGAATGTTGGACAATTTCCTGAAAGATGAAGAAGAGACTCGAAGTAACAGATATGTGGTTCTACAGAAGGATGCAGAGGATATCATAGACCAGGCATGTGAGCAACTATGAGGTCTTGGAGAGGAGGCAAACAAGGAGAAGACTTATACTTAACATCAGGAAGAGGCAGCTGAAGTTTCTGGAACACATAATGAGGAAGGAAGGAAGGCCTGGAGAATCTGATACTCACGGGTCAAATAGAGGAAAAGAGAGACAAGGGAAAACAATGCATGACAGAATGTGGTCTGGGGGAGGTGGAGAGCCAGGATACCTACATCTTGATTAAATATAACTCCGATTTCTGTATTTATTTATCTATATTGGTAACTATGCTGACACCTAGGATTGAACTCACAATTTTTGGCTAACAAATTACTAAAGATATTTGACTCTTGCTCCTCAGCTTAATGGATGTTTTGTAAGCAGTAGCTTCTCCCTTCTTGACGAAAGAAGATTTAACCTTTAGGCATTCTTTACGTTTATTTAAATTTCTCCTCAATTAACATTTTTCTTTTTGACTGGAGAAGTGCTGTCATGCAGTTTATTGAGCAAGATCCTGTTTTGACAGATATATAATTTGTACTTTATGGTTTGCACCAGGAAATGCCACCAATCTAATACTGCACTTAAATTGATAAAGTCTTAGTACCATAGGGTACTTCTGGGAGGTTTCTCATTCATTTGCTGTCTGCATACAACATTACTTTTTATGAATACATATGCTATATTTAGTGGGTTTAGTGAGACATCTCTCTCTATCTCTTGTCAGAGAGTATAATATTAGTCTTCCACCTTGGGGTTTCTTGTATTAAAGATGTGTCCTTCAACAGGATATGAACCTGCATCCCCTCCTGTTGGTCACACCAATGTACAACGTGAATGACTTTAATACTAAATCAAGCCTCTGTTACTCTTGGCTTATGAAATATCATATTGAAACATTGGTTGTTGTACAAGCACGGAAGTTAAGCAACATCAAGCCTGTTCAATACATATATGGGTAACCATTTGGGAATATCAGGTGCTGTAAGCCTGGATGTGCAGGTGGTGTAATATATAATGGCTTGTAATTGTTAATCAGAGAGCTGAGTTCCAATTCCTGTTAGGTTCATTATATTTGTTAACATGCAAATACCCTTGGGAAAGATATGAATTCAACACTTCTCCCCACTATGGGTTAATTGGTAAGATTTGTATCACTAAACCATTATTATCTTAAAAATTTCTTAAAATCTAAAAATATTTTCTGGCTTTAAATAACCTGCAAAAGGGTTGATAAGCTGTAAAAAATGAATGAATCAAATCAAATTAAATACCCTTATGACAGAAAGCACATTTATTTCTTATTACTCTATATTTTATTTTTATTGGTTGCACATGTTTCAGTTGACATCTCTGTTTTATATTTGTTTTTTGTTATTTTTACACAGTACAATTTATATTATTCGGACTATTGTCCTTATCTTTGTCGCCATATTTATCACAACATTTTGGCTGTTGTACACTCCGGCCTTCTTCAGGTGGTTGGAATTTCGAACTGAACCCTTTATTTCGATCACTGGGGTAGACGTGCCATGTTGATGGATATCAGTTATCTCCTGTTAATTCCCCTCTGAAAGTTCTCCACTACCTTAACCACTCTTTGGGTCCTGTCACTGGAGCTAACCAACGCCTTTATTCACTGTGCCATGTGTCCTTGAGGACATCTGGGTATGAATTTCTGGGTATTATAAACCTAATGTCTTCAGCAACCATTTCTACCAGTGCTCATATTGCAATTTTGCTGTTATCATTGCATGTCTTTACCAGAGCTCATATTGCAACTTTGTTGTTATCATTGCTTTTCTCTGGCACTCCTTATTACTGATTCCCATATTGTATTTATTTCTATGCTTGGTCAGCTCAGGAGATTTTTGTGGCCTAGCATATGTGCTGATTCCTTAAGTTTACGAATTTTCCAATGGTGTTCCTTGTCTATGATCTCAACATGATCCCACAGAGGGCGATGATCTCCCTTCTCTCTCCATATGTGTTCATCTACGCCTGATTTTTCTACTTCTCCTCGTGTTACAGCGTTTGAAGCCTTACCTTGAGGGGGTGGCCTGTCTCTCCTTTATATTTCTTTCCGCAGCTGCATGGGATAGCGTACACATAGTCTTTAGTCATGTTCTCCTCTATGGGGAGTCGTACTCAGAAATATAGACACTACAGTTTATGTTTACTGACCTTGTTTTTAAGTTTAAATATCTGGGAAGTGTTTTGATAGAGGACAGAAAGTGCAACACTGAGATCTGAAGACGGATTGGAATGGCTAAGGATGCATTCCAAAAGCTGGGTAGAGTACTGTAAGACAGGAGGATCTCTTTGGTAACAAAGAAAAGAGTACTGAGCTGTTATGTGACATTTGTCTTCCTTTACAGACAGACTCCTCAAAGATGAAGAAGAGACTCGAGGTGATGGAGATGTGGTTGTACAAAAGGATGCTGAGGATGTCATGGACTGATCTTGTGAGCAACAATGAGGTCTTGGAGAGAATTGCAAACAAGGAGGAGGCTTATACTTAACATCAGGAAGAGGCAGCTGAAGTTTCTGGAACATGTAATAAGAAAGTGGGGCCTGGAGAATCTTATACTGACAGGTCGAATAGAGGGAAAGAGAGAGACAAGGGAAAGCAACATGGTGGGCTTGAGCAAATGGATGGCAGAATGTGGTCTGTGGGAGGTGGCAGAGGGACAAAACTTAGTGAAAGCTACAAAGGATAGGGGGAAGTGGAGAGCCCTGATTGGCTACATCCTGAAAAAGAAAAAGAAGTTCCCTACATAATGTGCTTTTCCTTGCTAAAGGACACAACTTTAATAAAGACTCTTGAAAAAATGCAGGCCAGTACATGAAAATTATACAGCATAAAAAAACAGAGATTTCTTTTTCATATTTGTTTTATTACATGAGATAGACAGATGGATAGCATTAATTCTAGCAAGTAGTGGGAGGAAGAATTTCAGGCAAATACATGCCCACCCATTGGCTTAGTATTCTCTCACTTGTGGCTTAGCCTCTCTATGAAATCTGAGTGTGGAAAGCATGTTGACACTTAAAAATTCTCACAGCTCTCTGTGAACTTTGCACTGTTTTGGTCTTATCTTCAAAACTTAGACAAATGCAATCAATCATTGTCAGAGTTCCATGTCCACAAGGTATTCTGACCAATTGCTTGCCAGCCTAGTGCAGCCTCTGCATTCTGTAACACTGTATTTGATTGCAAACATAAACAGTATTGGATTGAATATAAGTTGTTTCCAATGTGATTTGATCTTATAAATCATACAGTAGGAACTTGAATGGATATTGGCTAAAACCATTCATTCAGGAAAGCATTATGCTTAAACAGATGTTCTTGATTCCCTTTCAAGGCTTCCCTGGTTGAAGTGGCTAACATATCATCCTCTCAGCATGTGCTATGAGAGTCCAAGTCTTGTTTCATTTCCTATTTCATGCTGTTAGCACGAGTGTACAAGACTTTTAAAAAATACAGGCCAGTCCAAGAAAATTATGCTGCATAAAAAGCAGAGATGTCTACACAAACACATGCAGATATATAAATACAATAGTTATAATATTAAGAGATAATGTCAGATTATAAATAAAAATCCACTAATTTCTTAAAATTACAACCTTATATAGAAAATATACTCACTGATAGATTTTATGAGAAAAAAACAAAAAAGCAATTACAGTTGTCAGGTTCAGGGGTCATTTGGGAGCAAAGAAGATAAACGATGGGAAAAAATCATTGGTCAGAATTATTTGAATAAAATAAAATTGTTTTTTTAATCATCATGAAATGATTAAAAAAAATAAAATTCAGCTTGAGACTTAAATGCAAGAAAGGCAATAAAGCCACTAAGATGCAAGAAAGAACTGAGAGTGAATGGGAAGATATTATTGAGGAGAAAAGACAATAAAAGAATAGGATTCAGAAAGACAGAATATAGCAATTGGTGTTGCTTTTAAATTTTGGGGCATTGTAGGTGTCAGGTAAGAAAGAAGGGAGATGTGTGAGAAAAGAAAATATTAAAAATAGAACTTACGGTTAGATCTAGTTAATTCAACAATAAAATGATGAGGCCTAGTCACCAATCTTAAATTCATGTGGTCAAGGTAACATCAGAACAATCCCCATGAAAATATTTGTAGGAAAGATAGAGGAAAACCATGTCTTGGCATTGGGAAAGTGTCTGAAGTTGAGATATTTGTCAATGCCAATTACATTACAGATTCTTCTTTGGATTTTGTCAAGAATCTAGAGATATATAGCAGAAGCACCAAACCAGATATGGCAACAATATTCAATGCACTGAGGAATGGTACATTTATAAATGTTTAAGATGGATTCTGATGAAAAGATTGTCTGGCCCAACACAGGGAAACAACTTACCAAGCAGTAAAACTAGCATCTGATTCAAGGTAATCACTCCACTTCCTGTCAGCGGAAAACATGAGCCCAAGAAGGTACAAAGAGTCACTCTCCTGAAGGTTAGCATCAGCCATGTTGATTGAAGGCAGAAAAGGTTCTCTATGATGAATAAATGTAAGCAGTTTTGTTTTGAAAGATGTCTAAATTTTAAATGGATTTTTTAAATTTGATTATTATTTTATTACTATAAATGATTTTTTCCTAAACAGTGACATTAATTTCAACCAGCCTAGATCAAGAAGCCTAGATCAAAAAGTCCTAAAAAAATTTCTTTCGTAGGATCTCTTAATTTGGGTTGGTTGACATTCATTACACTACTTAAGAAAATAAAAAAAGGGATGTCAACTCAAATACGTGTAGCTACTGAAAATAAAAAAATAAAATAAAATAAAAATTTATCATGTAAAGGCAGACGATGTATACCAAATTTGATACCAAAGTTTGATAGACAAAATTCATCAGCTTTTAATAAGAATTATCATATGCTAAATCATTTTATCTATCATGTTATCTATCTATATCTGATTCTGTTAAATCTATCTATCTATCTATCTATCTATCTATTGATCTATCTATATATGCATTTGATTCTGTTCATATCTATCTATCTATCTATCTATCTATGCATGCTAAATCGTTATCTATCTATCTATCTATCTATCTATCTATCTATCTATCTATCTATCTATCTAAGGATATATCTATATCTATCTCCTCTACCAAGTGTTTCAAGAAGTAGGACTCAAGATAAACCTTTCTAAAACAAACTAAGGTCTGGAATTGGAATAAAGGCCATGATGGTGCGTACTCTGAATCCATAATAAAAATTCAGAATGTGGAAATAGCAAACACCCGTCACTTTAAATAACTTGGTTCATTGATAAATTGTAACAAATTTAGCATAGGAGATAAGGAAATTGAATATAGAATAGGCTGCACTAGGGTAGTTTCACCCAATACTACAAGTTGTTACCAAACCAAGACATTAACCTATAAACTTGAGTCATGATTTTCAATAAGTTTGTTAGTTCAAAACTTTTATATGCATGTCATGCATCGCACCAAACTCATTCAGAAATATCTAAACTCTCACTTTCTAAGACTAATGATTAAAAATAGGAGGAGGCACAGTGAAATAATGGATAGCAGCTCGTATTGAGGAATCGGAGAGCCGAGTTCAAATTCCAGTCGAATGCATTACATTCACTTATGTGCTAATACCCTTGGGAAAGGTATGAATCCTCTTCTTCTCCCCCCAGCTATGTCCCCCAGGACAGACCAGATTCTATATCCTTGGATGGCAACTCGTCTACCACAGAAAGAAATGGCAACCTACTGTGGGAAAAAATCTGCCTCATCAGTCACGTACGATGCTATGGTAATTTACCCATGCACGCATTGACTCTCCCAGCTATAAATAGGAGCAGGTAGTGCCTTTTGGAGGGTTAAGTTTTTAACAGTCAGCTCTGACAGTTGGCCCGAACATTCTTGCTGTTACACTCTCATTTGTACGTTGATATTACTGTTTCTGTTAATATATTTGTTTAATTCAATTCTTCTCTTTGTGTCTTTATTTCTGGCCCTAACACGGTCACAACATATGGAAAGATACATGATTGCCTAAGCATGTATCACACATGGCACATAACTGACTGACTGATTAAAAATAGCTTTGAATGAATGAAATCTGTAGGTCTAGCAAGGACCATCTCTCTTCAGACCTTGTGGACTGGCACTACAAGCAACGAACTATACCAGATATCAGAATCTACATCATGTGAAGACTTTCAACTGCAGCAACACTTGAAATGGTTAGTATATGGAACCTAAAGAGAAAATTATAATATAATTATAAAAGCTATTGACTACTTACACTATTTACATTGTCCAGACTATTGTTCTCATCTTCATTGCCATTATTCACAACATTTTGGCTGCTGTATGCTCCGACCTTTTTCTTGGCCCAAAGAGTTGTGAGTCCAATACCTGGTTACAGCTGAGGTGAATGAAAACTTGGAGAGATGAGTTAAAAGAAGATAACTGATACTGAGACATCCGGAAGAGGCATGAGAACAATCTACCCTGGTGAATGAAATAAAAAGTTAAGGTCAAAATTCCAATCACCAGAGGGTACAAAGGCCAGAGAGTACAAAGGCCAAAACGTCATGAATATGGCAATAAAGATGAGGAAAACAGTCTGAACAATGGAAATAGTGTTAATAATTACAATACCTCATCTCTGAAATACAAACAGATATTGAAGATGATGACATTCCACATTAATTCAAAGAAAAGGTTAGGAAGGAAGCTCCTGTTAGCATTGGAAAGCGCCATAACAGTTACTGGACTTGAGAAACCTGTTTTCCTGAAAAATTGTTTTAAGAGAAAGATTTTATAAATTTCAACCGACAACAGTACTGCCTGCTTGATCAATGAATGCTGAATATTTCCTTATCCAGAAACAGCTAATGTTATCATTACCATTTGAGATGAGGCCAACATATACATTGATCCCAGGAAGTGAAGAAAAGTGTAACTCATGCAGCACTGCCTGTTCAATGGTCAATGAATGAGGAATGTTCCCTTATAAGGAAACAACTAATATTACCATCATCATTAATGAGGATGGGAACAGATACTACACTTTGATCCCAGCCCCTTTGCCAGAAAATGAAGAAAAATCTAACTCATGCAGCACTGCCTGTTCAATGGTCAATGAATGAGGAATGTTCCCTTATAAGGAAACAACTAATATTACCATTCATGAGGATGAGAACAGATACTACACTTTGATTCCAGCCCCTTTGCCAGAAAATGAAGAAAAATCTAACTCATGCAGCATTGCCTGTTCAATGGTCAATGAATGAGGAATGTTTCCTTATAAAGAAACAACTAATATTATCATTATCATTAATGAGGATGAGAACAGATGCTATACTTTGATCGCAGCTCCACTGCCAGAAAATCAAGAAAAGTGTAACTCAAGTAGCACTGGCTGCTTGGTGGTCAATGATTGATGAATTTTTTCATAAAAGGAACTGGCTAATATCATTATTACCATATTTCCTATTATACTAATACAACTATTTTTAATCAAATTTAACACTTAATGATATGTCTACATTTTATGGCATGTATATTAACTCTGTAGACTCCTGTTATGGAGTATGGAGCCCCAGATTCACCACACTAAGTATTGCTGCTGTGACTTCTGTAGCAAGTATTTTTTAAGTGGTGATGTTCCTATACTCAAATGCCACTAGGTTTGAATTCCTACTTATGCTAAACTAGTTACTAACTAAAGCTAGAAAGTCCAGTCTACCCTGCTATTTACCTCTAGCTAGGGGGGAAGAGAGATGGATTCTACACTACATCCATATCCAGACAAGATATACATAAACCGTTTATTTTTGGTAGCCATAGAAGTAAGCATGCATTGGCATGGATTCGTAAGTTTCCAGGGGTATTTTTGTGAAAGCGAACACAATAATCTTGGCAAGAACTTGAACTTGATATGCTATTCTGTCATTTTGCTCTGATAACCGCTACACTACATCCATATCCAGACAAGATATACATAAACAGTTTATTTTTGGTAGCCATAGAGGTAAGCATGCATTGGCTTAGCAATATAATTTTCAGAAAGTAAAAATCACAATTTTTTAAAAATTTCAAGATTTCGTTGTGTGTGTCTAGGCTTATACAGGCATTACATGTACTGTAGCTATAGCAGCAGTGGTGTGTCTAGGGTAAGATAACCTGACAAATTTTAACCCTCTTCTTTGCGTTCAGGATGTTCCTTCACCTAGACTGGTCACTGTTTCAAGGTAAGAGATCTCAATCTACTCTGCTATTTAACTGATAACTGGGCAAGATTTATTCATACCTTTTCCAAGGCATTAGTGTAAATGGAACAAAGTAATAGAGCAGAAATTGACATGCCTAATTCACTTTCCGATCCAATATCTATCACACCATCCTCGTCTGCAAGATTGCAGTTAAATTGAATAAATATGAAGTTTTCTGCTTATATTATTTTTTTCTTTTGTGAATTAAATTTTTATACTTTTTTGTTTCTTTCATTAAAATGTTTGAAATATTAAACTTTTAATGTCTTGAGCCCAAAGAAAAATGAAAGCAATGGATCTCAGATGAAATTCTCGTCATGATGAAAAGAAGACAAAAAACAATGCCAAGGTATGGCACAGATTATAAGACTCTGCACAAAGAATTTAGAAACAAATGAAAACGCGCTAAAAAGGAAGGACTCAACGAAAAATGTGCAGAATTAGAAAGAATGAGTATCACAGATAAAGTAGATATGCATAAAAGTACAGCTGTATTTAAAATAATCATGGTTTTGATAAAACTGATGTTTTACTTAACTGTATCCAATAATAATGCATATAATATTCACATATATGTAGCTGTTTCTCGTTCGGTTTTTATGGCTGTATGAGATTATGCAACGAGTATAGTATTACTAACACTACTTTTATCATATTCTTTTACTTTCTTAAAACTTATCGAACTAAAGGATAGGATAAAAAGATAGAGTAAAAAAGCTAGTCTATTGTAATTTGGTTTCACAAAAAAGGAATTTGCATGATACACTAGATACATGATAAAATCATTTTTTTTATAAGTGAAAATTTGGGGGTCGTACGATACGCGAGATCGTGCATCAATTGAATATATACGGTATCTTCTTTTGTGAATTAAAATATATCTTGTTTCTTTCATTAAAATGTTTGAAGTATTAAGCTTTTATTGTCTTCAGTTTTTATGCTACTTAAGAGTGCTTAATACTAATTTTTAAAGTTTGACTTGTATTTTATTGACTCTTGAAGAGAAACAAAAAACTCTTTGTGGTCATTAAGAAGCGAAAATAGACAACATTTTTCATCTCTTAATTGGAGCATTTTTGTAAAAGTACAAGATGGTATAAAATTATAAAAACAAGTCATCCTATTCATAAATAACGATTTACTAAGCATTAGCTAAGATGTGGCTGAAAGTAAAGAATGGGAAACTTTGAATAGGTTTGTTTTATGTTGTAGCTAAGGATATTATTAATGGACGAAAGCTTTGCTGTAGGTCACCAATTTGAAGCGGGAGAAGTTTCGACTTGCTGCTGATGAGGATAAAGACTTTGAAAATAAACGAATTTAATATTTTCAGAAGGAATTAATTCAACAGGTGGAGGTAATTTTATGCATATAAAGGAATCCCTCGATTAATGAGCATTTGATTAATGCGTTTTTGATTAGTGCGCTAAATTTTTTTATGTATCTAAAAATTCGATTAGTGCTTACATAATACTCGATTAGTGCGGTAAAACACTCTTCAGTTTAACCATAGTAATTGACAATTTATTTTTTTAAAGTTACCGATTAAATAAAAATTTTCTAAAATTTAAAAATGGAAAATGGGTAACTATTTTGTTTGTCAAATATTTTCAGAAATTTTCTTTTCTTTCAGAAAATAAAGCCTGCTGCCACAGTATTCTCACTGTTGCCCGAATTTATAACGAAAAAGAAAGAAAAAATGCAAATCAGATTCAATTACAAAGAAAAAAGTATTTATTTCTAACTAGCTAAATAAGTGTTCTTGCAAAATTTCGCCCCTTTTCGCTGAGAATAAAATAATCTATTCTCTGGGCAACACAATGTAAAAAAAAAATAGAGCAGAAAAGTAAAACAAACTTAAAAAATTACAATGCACCAAAAAACAAAAAACAAAAAAAAAGAATAGCACCCACCTGCTGTGTCAATGATAACAATAAAAAAGGGGGGGAAGAGCCTTAGCTCTTCAGTACACTTTCAGTCCTGTCAAGCTTCAAAAGTTTTTATCTTTTTTCTTTTCTTTCTTGTGTAGACAAAATTCTCTTCCTGGTGACCAAACTCCCTCCTTTCTGCACTTATTTTCCTCCCGTCCGCCTGGAAATAACGCCTTTCATTTACGGCCGCTAGAAGGTGGAATTTTACTTAAACACGCGTTAAAATACTTTTTGAAAACGCACGTGTTCGCTCCTTCGTCTTCTTCTCAAACGTCTTTGGCTCCAAACTCCACTTACGAACTTCTTTTCAAACTTTCTTTTCTGGGGCTTCTTCAAAACTTTCTCTGAAGAGGAAACTTGGCCTCAGCAATTTTGTTACCCATGCATCCTTCACTTATAGGCAAACGCTGCCTGCCTTTTCAGCAGGGAGAGAGAAAAACGAACCCCTTCTCTTCAAACTGCTCTAAGTTTTTTTCCCATTTCTCTCTTCCCTTTCAAAGCGGGGCAGTTCACCTTTGAACCGTCCAATCACAGTCCATTAAAAAAACTATCAGCAGGTTCTTAGGGCCAGTAACACAGTGAGTGTCTTTTGTTCTCCCTGACTTATTACGTTATCCAAGTAATTACAGTAGTGTTGAAAAAAATGGACACGCTTTGACATTTGACAATTTGACTAGGTGCTCCGTTTATTTCTTACGTGGTTAATTGGTTCCTTTTAGAGCGTATCGGATTCAATGATAGTTTCCTCTGAGTTCGAACGCTGGTTTGAATCCCGCCGGAGACCATGGAGTTTTCTTTAATAAAAGGCCGGTAGGTGAAAATAAATAAATATACTGTTTAATAAATAAACGGAGCGTCTACTCAAATACGAGTATCCACTAAAAATAACGTTTAAAGTGATAAAAATCTGACGCATTAATAAAAATACTTTCTAAAACTTCCCATTGGTCTACTTGTTCGATTTTAGGATCTGTAATTTGTATGTTGGGTTCTTCCTTTTGCCAACAACCACACATTATGTTTTCTTACAATTGATGTTTAGTCCTTTCTTCTCATTTTCCTTTGCTACCTTCTGTCAGAGTTCTTGTATTTTCCTTTCTCTGTCTGTTATTAACACTGTCTCATATCCATATCTACTTTGTTAATATTGTGGCTGCTAATAATGAATCCTGGTAGGACTTCTAATTCTCTCAGAATCGCCTCACTGTATAGCTTAAATAAGTCTAGTGAGAAGACATATCCTTACTACAGGTACCAGAGAAGCCAGACTTCAATCGAGGAAAAAAAGACTCTTTAGAGTATGACCATATTTGATCATTTCGGGGCAAACGGCAGACCTCACGTTTATCCGAGTACACGTTTCTCAATTCTTGAAAAGCTTTGTTGGTCGCTTTTTGTTGGTCGCTTTTTGTTGGTCGCTTTTTGTTGGTCGCTTCCTTCCATAACCATCTGTTACTCGCTTATTCGTTCCTAGGAAAGGTTACTGAATAGAATAATCAAACAAAGGTTGGTAATGAACGATAATACTTAGGATACGAACAACACATATAAGATTCGCCAGTGGCGTGTAGAGGAAGTAGTCAACTACTAGAAGTGAGTCAAGTGGATTTCACAATGAATCTCCAACTGCAAGATATCTACCAACCGCCCCACGCGGTCAGATGTGGCACAAGGCTGAATTTAATATGGGTATCAAAGCCCGTAGGCTCGGCCCAAAATTCCCCATAGACCCAGTAAAAAACGAGGACGGGTAGCTGTCTATCACCCCAGACGAGACTCTGCCCTTCGGCATAGCCTCGTTTGGGTTCCTCTCTGCCCGAAGACAGATAGTTCGACTAGTACAACTGGAGACGAATCTCCCACTGAAGGATATTTGCCAACCGCCCCATGCGGTCAGATGTGACACAAGGCCGAATTTAACATTGGGTATCCGAGCCCGTAGGTCTGGTGCAAAAATTCCCCATAGACCCCGTAAAAAACGGAGTCGGGTAGCTGTCTACCACCCCAGACGAGACTCTGCCCTTCGGCATATCCTCGTCTGGGTTCCTCTCTGCCCGAAGACAGAGAGTTCAACTAACTTAGCTGGAGACGAATCTCCGACTGAAGGCCAACATACAATACTTACTACTGTATTTATGTGAATGGGGACATACCCATTATCGTCTATAGGTATGCTACAACGATAATGTTAAAGGAAGAACAAATGCAAATATGCATTGATTTTTTAATTTATTTAAATTTGAAAATATGGCGTGATATCACAAAATTCCTGCGCGCACATATCCGATCTATCAAATGTAATCGTAAGATATGCTATACAATGCTTGGCATTCCAGACTGTTTTCAGGTGGACGTCGGCACCATGAGAAGCTTGTGAACCTTCTTCTATGCGCAGAACCCCTTCAGCCCGTCTGCGATCTCCTAGCTTATCTTTCCTATCACTTGTGGTCCTTAGCAGGGTTTCTCCCTTTGTCAAGCCTCCCGCCTCGTCATTCATTCACACAAGCTCGTCTGACAGGTTGCTCGCTGCCATCCCTTATCTCTCCTGTCCTGGATATGCATTGTCAGCGTTAAGCTTTCCAAGACCTCCTTCTTCGGGAAATTTCATCCGTTTCTTCCTGTTTCTGAGAACAAATGTTCTTTTTGTTACCATTTTTTTTAAAGACTTCTTCGTTGCTTACTCGCTCCGTTCAGGGAATTTTTGGTATCCTTGTGAACCCTTAAACGAATCTAAACATAATTCTCTCTCGCTCGGCTAGAGAAGTAGTACTGAAAATCGGTAAAGGAGGAGCGGATGTACGAAACGCACATCTCAGACACCCACTTCAAGGAAGGACAGTCTTGGAACAATTCCGACTTTGCTTAAGCGTCTCACATTTATTACTTGGTACCGTGCCATGTCCAGCTTCCTATCGACAAGGGACAATGGCATGCCCCCATCCCACACACAGGCACTAGAAAAGAGGCCGATATAGAGTTATGCAATGCTGCAGACACGTGCTCACAGTCAATTCGTTTTACTCCAAAGTTTTCATTTTTCCCTAACTTTGTCTGAACAGCAAATTACTAAAACTTTCTAGCAATACGAATAGTACCTTTTTACATAACATTACGACTGACCTACAACTTCTCTCCACCAACCAGCTCGTCGACCATTTCAAGGTGATGTGCTTTCTACTGTCTGACAGGACATTATGGCTTCTGTCATCACCCTCTTCTTATTCTTCTACAGTGACAGCTTGAATATTAACATTTTCCATCACTATTCTATTTTATATTAACAGCTTGTTGCTTTTGACTAACTGCAATGCCGCTAGAGTCTACGCCACTTTTTTTTCTCTTCTTTTCTTTTCTAAAAAGAGGGTGGAAATTTCGCTTATACTATAATTTAATACTTCGAGTTTTACACTGTCTACATCGGAGTTATTTAATGTCAACTATGTAACTGTGTCTCCGTCATTGATACTGACTGTTGAATTTTTAAAAACTTTTCAAAAAAAATCCTGTTTGTAATTGGATTTCCGGTTCCTTCTGTAGTTTGCTTCAGGTTTATACTCCTAACACATGTTCTTTCCTACGCTAATATATATGTCCATACAATAACCTTCTACCTTGAATGGCTCTTGGAGCTAACATTGGGTGAAGATTAATAAAAAACAAAACAAAAAAAAGGCACTTGCACAAACAGTGGAGGATAATAATTAATTACTATTGTAACCTAGGGAAGGTTACTGAATAGAATAATCATACGAAGGTTGGTAATGAACAATAATACTTAGGAAAAGAGCAACACGTATAAGATTCGCCAGTGGCGCGTAGAAGTCAATTGCTAGAAGTGAGTCAAATGAATTTCACAATGAATCTCCAACTGCAGGGTATCTAGTAACCACCCCACGCGTTCAGATGTGGCACAAGGCCGAATTTAATGTGGGGTAGGCTCACCCAAAAATTCTCCCTAGATCTCGCATAAAACGAGTTGGGTAGCAGTTTCACGAGACCTTCGACATAGCCTCGTCCGACGGATGCTCTCTGCCCGGAGAGACGAATCTCCAACTGTAGACCAACATACAGTATTTACTACTGTATATATGCGAATGGGGATTATCGTCCGTAGCTATGCTACAACAACAATGTTAAAGGAAGAACAAGCGCAAATATGTATTAATTTTTTAATTTATTTAAATTTGAAAATATGGCGTGATATCTCAAAATATACATCATCAAACTGTCGTAGAAAGATAAGAGGGTTGAAATGTGGAGCAGAGGACTTGATATTTGTAAATAAAATCAAATTATAGATGATAATTTAAGATAAAGGCAGGGATCGGTTTGACATTGATAAACAGGACCCCGACTTTGAAAGTGATAAAAACCAATAGTTTTTGTTTCTGACTAATTTCGTGACTTCAGGAAGGTCTAATGAATACTAATCAAAAATTATTTCCAAAATTCAGACATTTTAAATAATGCCATTTTCAGTCTGAGACGTGCATAAAAACGAAACCAAGTAAAAAAAAATCCTCTTTAAGTAACCCAGATGACATCAGTGATGTGCCACGATCATGTATCTTTCGATACATGACTGACGAGGCAGATTTTTTTCCCGCTGTAGGTTGCCATTTCTTTCTGCGGTAGGCCAATTGCCATCCAAGGCTATAGAACCTGGTCTGTCCTTCTATTTACCCATAGTTAGGGGGAGAAGAAGTCGATTCCTACCTTACCCTATACCTATTAGCGCGTAAGGGAATGTAATGGATTCGACTGGAAAGTCAGTCAGTTAAGTGCCATGCGTGTATCACGCATGGCACGTAAATGACTGACTGTCTTTCGATACATGACTGACGAGGCAGATTTTTTCCCACAGTAACTTGCCATTACTTTCCCATTTCTTTGCCTTCCAAGGCTATAGAACATAGTCTGTCCTGCTATTTACCCATAGCTGGGGGGAGAAGAAGAGGATTCATATCTTTCCCACGTAAGTGAATGTAATGGATTCGAACTCGGCTCTACGATTCCTTAATCCGATCCGCTATCCATTACTCCACTGATACTGATGTTTAATTAAAGACGATCAATTAAGAATGAATGTTTCACGTTTTTGCTATTTGAATTTTATGATGGATCATAATTCTTAAGTTAATGATTGAACGAGGTCGTGTCGAGTTCTAGGACGATAAAAGACTTGTGGAAATTCTATCGTAGCGTTAAATATCTGAGCTTGACAACTTTAACAAAATATTGTAATAACAATCATAAATATGAATGTTGGTCATTATTTAAAGAGGCAGGCATAAATGAAAAGATTAAAACTTGACATCGTTTTCCATTTCACTGAAGCAGACGTTAAG